AGTGTGTGTTGTTGTTGTTGACGTTATAGTGTGTGTTAAGAGCGACTTGAGACCTCAATTGTGTGGCTAATGACTACATGTTAAGTATCTTCACCAACACTCACATACCGACTCACGAACACAAACAAGATCAGAAATATGAGGTAACTGAGGATAGATTCACATACTACGGACAAATTCACGTACGGACGAATGATTTGAGAGGTGTACATAATCAAGAACATACAAGATATTATATTACTTAGCATATTTACGTACATATAAAGGATACGTTTATTATTATTATTAGTAGTAGTAGTAGTAGTAATAGTAGTAGAAGTAATAGTAGTAGTAATAGCAGCAGTAACAATAGTCGAATAGTTATAATATTCGACGTGAAAATATTCGACAGGGAAATATTTGACAAGGGAAGAGAAAATCAGTGTTGGAGCTCTGAATGGCTATGACTAAGCCCTCTCAACTCTCCCTTCCTCTCACCCCCCCACTCTCCCACCCCACTCCCAACTCTCCCACCCCCTCTCCCCCTTTTATAATCCCCCTATCTCACCCTCCCCTTACCCCCTGACCTCCCTCCTTCTCTTAACATCTACCCCCCCCCTCTCTCTCTCTCTCTTGTTCCTCTACCTTCACCTCCCATTTGCCCCCTTCCCCCTCCATCTCTCGTCTCCACCCCCACTTCCACCTTCCTTCCCTTCGCCCTCCACCTCCTCCTCCTCCTCCTAATCTTCTTCCCTCTCCTCTTCCTCCTCCCTTCACCCCCTCCTTCCCTCCTCTCTTCCCCCTGCACTTCTACATCTCGTCTCCCCCACCCTCTCCCCCTCTCCTCCCCCTCCCGTACAGCTAGGAGGGGATACCACCATGAACGGAATGTAAACGAGGGAAAATCCATGGTGAACGACCCTGGCTGGAGCACGTTAACTCACAAACGGAGAGAGAGAGAGAGAGAGAGAGGCACTGCTGTTCCCTCCACCCTAATTCTTTCCCTCCGATCCCCTACCTTCCTTCCGTCCCTCCATCCCTCCTCCGTCCTCACTCTCCCTCGAGTCATCGTTGCCAACCCATATATTCTCTCTCTCTCTCTCTCAACCACCAATGTATAATATTTTTCACCAAAGTGTGTGTGTGTGTGTGTGTGTGTGTGTGTGTGTGCAGTGATATTGTGTATGTGTGTGTGTGTGTGTGTGTTTGGCAGTCTAAATTGCGTGTATATCTGAATGGTTTGTATAGTATAGAGATGTGGTTGTTTAGTATGAATGTGTATTGCCAGTTTGTATTCTGTGTGTATGACTGAACAATTTGAATAGTATCCCTGTGTGAGCGTGTATGACCATTTGTGTGTATATTTTTATGATTTAACAATGTGTATGGTAGAAACTGTATAGTGGCCAGTCGGTATTTATATAACATTATGTCTTAATTTATATGATAACTGTGTATATAAACTAGAATGTATATAGTGTCCCTGAGTGTTAGTATGAATGTGTATTACTGTTTATATAGTTTGAGTCATACATGTATAAATTTCTGTATAATTGTTATTAATGAATGTATTGGTAAATATGTGTATAAATTTATATAGCTGGATAATGTATCAAATAAGTACCCTGTATACTTGTATTAATTTAGATTCTTGTATTAATGCTTTGGTTGTATGAGAGTATCGCATAACTATGTGAATGTATGTGCTTGTATGTGCTTGTATGTGCTTGTATGTTGTATTATGCCCAGAGGTATGATGTATTGGTTGTATTGGATATAAATTAATGTATTATAGATCCACAAGTTAATTTTATTCTACAGTGTGCGTATGTGTAGGTCTGTCATGTGTACAAGTTAACGGACATGTACACAAATTACATATGTACAAAAAGCGCACACGTGTAGAGAACTGGTATGTGTATAGTTCAGTGCATATGTCTACAAGTTTACGAACATGAATTTATGCGTTTACATGTGTACAAATTAACTCATATTTGTACACATTATCAAAAGCCTAAATTGAATAAAGAAATAATAATAATAATAATAATAATAATAATAATAATAATAATAATAATAATAATAATAATAATAATAATAATAACAATAATAATAATAATAATCATACCAAAAATTATCTCATATTGAACAAAATTATTCCCACTAAGTGTTCACCCAAAAAATTCATGAAAACAATAATAACTGAAATAAATGAAGAAGAAAAAGAAGTAAAAGGAAAAAGAAAAAAAATAAATCAGATGAAAAAAGAAAACAACGAGAAGAAATACAAAAAAGAAACAAACAAAAATAACAATAACCATCAATAATTCGAGTACAATAACAACACCCAAACGATCATAACAACCAATTAGAGACAGACAATAGTACTTCCAATATACTGTATTATAGAGCATATAACACTATAACCAGTAAATAATAATACCAGAATATATATCATAGTGTAATATAGTATAATATAACATATATTTTGGGGGGAAATTTGAATTATAGTATTTTATGTTAGTATTTAATAAGTTCATAATATTGCTCTAGATAAAATATTAATAATAGTAGTCGTAGTAGTAGTAGTTGTCGTAGTAGTAGTAGTAGTTGTGGAAGTAGTAGTAATGAATATGCATAGCAGTGTGTAGTAGTGAGTATTATTATTATTATTATTATTATTATTATTATTATTATTATTATTATTATTATTATTATTATTATTATTATTATTATTATTATTATTATTATTATTATTATTATTATTATTATTATTATTATTATTATTATTATTATTATTATTATTATTATTATTATTATTGTTATTATTATTGTTATTATTATTATTATTATTATTATTATTATTATTATTATTATTATTATTATTGTTATTTTATTATTACCACCAAATGAATATGTTTTACAGTACAGTAACCTCTATAGTTAAAACACCTGTAATAAAACAAAAACAGGTGTAACAAGATCCATTAATTAGTCAGTTCATCAGTCAGGTTAATTTCTCTTCTCGATAATCAAATTTTTAACAAAGATGAATAAGAAAGTTAAAAGTCTTCATTAAAAATAATCTTGATAATCTTAGGAATGTTAATAAAGTAAATAATAATAATAATAATAATAATAATAATAATAATTATAATAATAATAATAATAATAATAATGATAATTTCTTTAAAGTAAATTGAAGTCAGTGAACATTTTAATGCTTGTGTGGGAGTTATGTAGTGTGGGAGTTATGTAGTGTGGGAGTTATGTAGTGTGGGAGTTATGTAGTGTGTGAGTTATGTAGTGTGTGAGTTATGTAGTGTGTGAGTTATGCAGTGTGGGAGTTATGGAGTGAGGGAGTTATGTAGTGTGTGAGTTATGTAGTGAGGGAGTTATGTAGTGTGTGAGTTATGGAGTGAGGGAGTTATGTAGTGAGGGAGTTACGTAGTGTGGGAGTTATGGAGTGAGGGAGTTATGTAGTGAGGGATTTATGGAGTGAGGGAGTTATGCAGTGTGTGAGCTATGGAGTGAGGGAGTTATGTGAGTGTGTGAGTTATGTAGTGTGTGAGTTATGGAGTGAGGGAGTTATGTAAATGTGTGAGTTATGGAGTGAGGGAGCTATGTAGTGAGGGAGTTATGTAGTGAGGGAGTTATGTAGTGAGGGAGTTATGTAGTGTGTGAGTTATGTAGTTATGGAGTTATGTAGTGCGGGAGTTATGTAGTGTGGGAGTTATGTAGTGAGGGAGTTATGTAGTGAGGGAGTTATGTAGTGAGGGAGTTATGTAGTGTGGGAGTTGTGTAGTGTGGGAGTTATATAGTGTGGGAGTTATGTAGTGTGGGAGTTATGTAGTGTGGAAGTTATGTAGTGTGGGAGTTATGTAGTGGAAGTTATGTAGTGTGGGAGTGAGGATGAGATCAATTTAGTGTGGGAGACAGTGGGAGGAGGGATCTGATGGCTGCCATAGAGGTGAATTGAACCTTTTCATATGAAGGGAGGAAGTGAGTTTATTATTCAGACACATTATATAAGAATTCCTTCAGCATCGTCTTAAGTAAAAACAAAAATATTACTAGAGGTCATTTGGTTAATGTTCCCCTGACCTGACCTGACCTCATCTGACCTCTATTCAACATAGACACGCTAAAACATGTATTAACCGGGCATGAGTATAACATAGAGATAATCAAAACAAGGATGTTATGACCTTAATTACAAGAGTAGGTTAAGAACAAGTATACTGATCTGACCTGACTGTAACAAGGACACGTTCAAAGTCGGTATTTATTTGACCTCAATATAGGAAGAACACGTTCAGAACAAGTATTGAAATAACAGATATATGGGTTAGGTTTGACTAAATAGCTAATTACTGTATGTTACTGAGTGTGTGTGTGAGTGTGTGTGTGTGTGTGTGTGTGTGTGTGTGTGTGTGTGTGTGTGTGTGTGTGTGTGTGTGTGTGTGTGTGTGTGTGTGTGCTACTATGGTAGGCATGTGTGTGTGTGTGTGTGTGTGCTACTATGGTGAGCATGTGTGTGTGTGTGTGTGTGTGCTATAGTGAGCATGTGTGTCACGTGGTGTGTGTATGTTAGTTGTTGTGGGTATCATGTGTGTGTGTGTGTGTTGGTTGTGTGGGTGTCACGTGGGTATGTGGGTATGTTGGTTGTGGGTGTCACACATGTGTTGTGGGCATGTTAGTTGTGTGGGTGTCACGTGGGTAACTATTAGTTGTGTGGGTGTCACGTGGGTATGTGGGTATGTTAGTTGTGTGGGTGTCACGTGGGTATGTGGTATGTTAGTTGTGTGGGTGTCACGTGGGTGTGTTGTGTGGGTGTCACGTGGGTATGTTGGTTAGGTGTCACGTGGTGTATGTGGGTATATTGGTTGTGTAGGTGTCACGTGGGTATGTTAGTTGTGGGTGTCGTGGGTATATTATTGTATAGATTGTCACGTGGGTATGTTAGTTGTGTGGGTGTCACGTGGGTATGTGTGTAATACGAAAATAGGAGTTTGCTTTACCTGAGTAGGAGTACGCGTTACCTGGATGGGCGTGGGCGTGGTGGTGGGCGTCGTGTCTGAGGGCGGGGTCAAGAGCCAACATTTGGGGAGGACCGGGGCTGAAGGGGTTGAACTGACCGAAGTAACCCCGCATGCCGGCACCCATACCCACGCCCGCGCCCGCACCCACCACCAAGGGCTCCAGCAGCTGGGAGGCCTGGGAGGCGAGGGTGCGGGCGGCCGTGTAGGCGGAGGTGCCCAGAGACGTGCCCAGGGCGGAGGGCGTGATGGAAGGTGGCGACCCCAGACCTGGCGGTGACCTTTGGCCCTCCGAGGACCCCAGACCGAGGAGCTCCTGGATGGCGAAGGGGGAGCGCTGGGGGAGGGAGGCGCTCGTTGAGCCCATCGAGCCCAGCATGTTGGCGTAGAGCGCCCCGCGGTCAGGGTGTAGCAGGTTCATCTCGAGGGCTCTCACTGTGTCCACTGTGTATCACTTGACGGGTGTGTGGGCGTGTGAGCGGGTCAGTGCGCGCCTCGCATGGCGTGGTGCGCGCGTGGAGTGGCGGCGTTCAACTGGCGCGGGGGCGGCTGGTGATGAGCGCGGGATGAGCCGTGGCGGGCGGGGGTTCACGCCCCGAGTGGCTCAGGTGGGCCAGTGATCCGGCCTTATTGCGGGCGCGGCGGCCCGGTCCGCAACGGTCCTGCGCCGAGACGCGGGCCACACGCACCCGCACTCCGGCTAATCGGCCTGGCCGCCCAGCCCGCCATTATTAGCCATTTTGGGTGGGCAAGAGGAGGCGGGACTTGACGACCACGATACCTAACCCACACTCACACCCACATATACCCTTCACGCCCACCCACGCCCATATGACCCCACACCCACCCCACCCTCACCACTCTTAAACCACCTTCTTACATCGCCACGTCCAAAATTTACGAAATAAGGAGAAGAAAGACATAAAGCGATAAATATGAGACTTGCAAGAGGGCGACAGCGTCCGATAAGCTCCACCCCTTTCTCCCGACTCGCCGCCCATTGGTCCCTCCCCCTGCGCGGCCAGCCAATCAGCACGTGGCTCTCATTATGATTGACAGCCTCTTACTCGGTATCGCGTTGTGATCCCTTTACTCTCACCCCGCTTAAAATGGATCCTTTAGCGAGGAGTTTGCCCACTGAACACCATTTTAATCAACTATTCCACCAACATTTACAAGCTGAAATCAAGAATCATTTCAGCGCGGACTGTCTAATGAGGTATTTGCAAGGGTAATTGGTGAATGGCGAGGCGGGCGCGGGGCCGTCATGATGATAGGCGTTTGTGTGTTGATTTTCACACTTCATGCGGCCGGTTATTTACATATGAATTACACTCTAAATACTTAATCGATATGCGTGTTGGTGGAGGGCCATCACCACCCCGCCCCGCCCCGCCCCGCCCCTCCCGCCTCCACAATTCTCCGCTCGTTAAGGCGTTGGCTTTTGATGCAAATTTGTGGTGGAGCCTCTAGGGTAGTCGGCACCCACAACCTGGCTTGGACGGCACACGCCCACTACCACCAGTGGGCGTCGATGGTACACGCCCACTACTCCTAGCGGGCGTGGACGGTACACGCCCAATACCTCCACTAGGTGTGAACGGTACACGCCCACATCCACCAGTGGGTGCTGAGGGTACACGCCCACTATAAACACATGGCGTGGAGGGTACACGCCCTCTACCACCATTAGGCGTGGATGGCGTGTGGTGAAGAACACACACAGGTGATCTCTCTCTCTCTCTCTCTCTCTCTCTCTCTCTCTCTCTCTCTCTCACTTTTATCGTCATCTCTCCCAGACACTCCATTCTCTTCCCCTCTCTCTTCTTCCTTCTTCATTTAACCTCACTTCTCTTACCTCATTCTGTTCCCCTTAGTCTTGTCTCCTCTTCTCTGCCCAGATTACATCATTTACATAACTATATACATTTATGTGTATATAGAGATAACTACAGTATACACAGTTAGATAAATCTGTCTTTAGCTCTTCCTCTTGTGGTCATCTTCTCACACACCTGGCACCACACACCTTACACCATATACCTGACACCACACACCTGACACCACTCACTTGCCACCACACACCTGACACTACACACCTGCCACTACACACCTGCCACCCCACACTTACAGACACACCTGCCACTACACACCTACAACGACACACCTGCCACCACACACTTGCCACGACACACCTACCACCACACACCTACCACTACACACCTAACCACAACACACCTGCAACACACACCTGACACTACACACCCACACCACACTTGCCACCACACTTGCCACGATACACCTCCCACCACACACCTACCACCACACACACCCACCCACACACACCTACCACTCACACACCTACCACCACACACCCACACCACACACTGCCACCTCACACTTGCCACGATACACCCCACCACACACCTACCACACACTTGCACCACACACACCTACCACTACACACCTACCACCACACACCACCACACTTGCCACCATGCACTACCACCACACACTCTAACAAAACACCCACACCACCACACACTTACACACACACCTACCACCACACACCTGCTACCCATCTGACACACACTTGCCAACACACACCTGACACCACACACCTACCACCACACACCTGACACCACACCTGACACCACACACCTGCCACGACACACCTGACACCACACACCTGCCACGACACACCTGACACCACACACCTGACACACACACTCTTACCACACACCTGACACACACACACACCACACACCCACACCACACACCTGCCACGACACACCTGACACACACCTACCACCACACACCCACACCACACACCTACCACGACACACCTGCCACCACACACCTGCCACGACACACCTGACACCACACACCTGCCACCACACACCTGCCACCACATACCCTACCACACACCTGCCACCACACACCCAGCACGACACCTGACACCACACACCTACCACCACAGTCCATCTCATATACTCACCTGTGTGTTAAACTGTCTTGTGTTTACCAGTCTGTATAGTCTGAGCCGCAGGACCTGTTGGTATTCTCGTGGTGCTGTTCTCCCTTTTCACTTCTCTCCCTTCTTCCTTCTTCCTTCTCTCCCTCTCCTTTCTCTTTCCCCACCCTTCTTCCTTCTTCCTCTCTCCTTCCGTTCTTCCCCTCCTTTCTCTCTTCTCCCCACTCCATTCTTCCCTTTCTCCCTTCCTCTCTCCTTCTCCCTTCTCCCCTCTCCTTTCTCTTCTCCCCTACTCCATTCTTCCTTTTCTCCCTTCTTCTTCCTCTCTCCCTTCTCCCTCCCCCTCTCCTTTCTCTTCTCCCCTCTCCATTCTTCCTTTCTCCTTCTTCCTCCTCCCTTCTTCCCTCCTTTCTCTTCTCCCTCTTTTTCTCCCTCTTCCCTCCCTCCTCTTCTCCTTTCCTTCTTCCCTTCTCTCTCTCCTTCTTCCTTCTCTCCCTTTCCCTTCCTTCTCTCCCTCCTCCCCACTATCACCTGTCGACTCATAAATCTCACCTCCAACAACCTTCAGAAACTTACACACACACACACACACACACACACACACACACACACACACACACACACACACACACACACACACACACACACACACACACACACACACACACACACACACACACACACACACAGCAGTATGGTTGGTGTCGTGGTAGTCAGTTGTTCCACCTCTCTTGTTGACATAAAGAATATTGTTATAATCACACAACAAGAGCTCGTATGATTATGATTGATTTAGTTGTGATCAGGTCAACTCTTCATTGACCTTGGTTGGATCAGGTCAACTCTTCATTGACCTTGGTTGTGATCAGGTCAACTCTTCATTGACCTTGGTTGTGATCAGGTCAACTCTACATTGACCTTGGTTGTGATCAGGTCAACTCTTCATTGACCTTGTTGTGATCAGGTCAACTCTTCATTGACCTTGAGTCAGATCAGGTCAACTCTACATTGACCTTGGTTGTGATCAACTCTTCATTGACCTTGGTGTGATCAGGTCAACTCTTCATTGACCTTGGTTGTGACAGGATCAACTCTACATTGACCTTGGTTGTGATCAGGTCAACTCTTCATTGACCTTGTTGTGATCAGGTCAACTCTTCATTGACCTTGGTTGTGATCAGGTCAACTCTACATTGACCTTGGTTGTGATCAGGTCAACTCTTCATTGACCTTGTTGTGATCAGGTCAACTTTCATTGACCTTGTTGTGATCAACTCTACATTGACCTTTTACAGATCAGGTCAACTCTTCATTGACCTTGGTTGTGATCAGTCAACTCTTCATTGACCTTGTTGTGATCAGGTCAACTCTACATTGACCTTGTTGTGATCCACCAACTCACATTGACCTTGGTTGTGATCAGGTCAACTCTACAGTGACCTTGGTTAGATCAGGTCAACTCTCACAATCTTGGTTGTGATCAGGTCAACTCTTATGACCTTGGTTGTGATCAACCTCACTGACCTTGGTTGTGACAGGTCAACTCTTCATTGACCTTAGTGTGATCAGGTCAACCTTCATTGACCTTGGTTGTATCAGGTCAACTCTACATTGACCTTGGTTGTGATCAGGTCAACTCTTCATTGACCTTGGTGAACTGGTCAACTCTCATTGACCTTGGTTGTGATCAGGTCAACTCTACAGTGACCTGGTTGTGACAGGTCAACTCTTCATTGACCTTGGTTGTGATCAGGTCAACTCTACATTGACCTTGAGGTGATCAGGTCAACTCTTCATTGACCTTGGTTGTGATCAGGTCAACTCTACAGTGACCTTGGTTGTGATCAGTTCAACTCTTCATTGACCTTGGTTGTGATCAGGTCAACTCTACATTGACCGTTTGTGATCAGGTCAACTCTACGTGACTTGGTTGTGATCAGGTCAAATGGTCACTTTGACGATGTTTGTGATGGGTGACGTTATCTGGGAGGAGGAAGGAGGAAGGGAGGGAGAAGGAAGGTGGAGGGTGATGGAAGGAGGTGGGAGGAGGGTGATGGAAGGAGGGTGGGAGAGTGGATGTAGAGATTGAAGGATAGAAAGGAAGGGGGTAGAGAGGGAGGGAAGGAAGGAGTGGAAGAAAGGATTAAGTGGGTAGGAAGGAAAGGTGGGAGGAAAGCAGTATTCAAGGGGTTGGTTAATTCATCGTACTCAAGGGTTAAGTCATCACTCAGTGGTTAATTCATCGTACTCAAGGGTTAAGTCATCGTACTCAGTGGGTTAATTCATCGTACTCAGTGGGTTTAATTCATCGTACTCAGGGGATTAAGTCATCGTACTCAGTGGTTAATTCATCGTACTCAGTGGGTTAATTCATCGTACTCAGGGGTTAATTCATCGTACTCAGTGGGTTAATTCATCGTACTCAGTGGGTTAATTCATCGTACTCAGTGGGTTAATTCATCGTACTCAAGGGATTAAGTACCATTACTCAGTGGTTAATTCATCGTACTCAGTGGGTTAATTCATCGTACTCAGTGGGTTAATTCATCGTACTCAGTGGGTTAATTCATCGTACTCAGTGGGTTAATTCATCGTACTCAAGGGATTAAGTCATCGTACTCAGTGGGTTAATTCATCGTACTCAGTGGTTAATTCATCGTACTCAAGGGATTAAGTCATCGTACTCAATGGGTTAATTCATCGTACTCAGTGGGTTAATT